TTTTTTTTTTTTTTTTTTTTTCCCTTCCTTGCATGGTTATTTGTGCCCGAGAAAAAGCTGTCCGATGATTAATATTCTTTTCAAGGTTCTTTCGCTTCACTTTTTGTGCCTTTTTTTTACTGCTCAAGTTACCTTATATTTAATCCAGCTTACCCCGGCTTCTTGTTCAACTATCTTGCCTCTAAATTCTCGAGCTTCGGGGTTTGATACCATCCAGCTTGCTCAGCAGTCAGGTTGCCGGCCTTGCTCAGCAGTCAGGTTGCCGGCCTTGCTCAGCTATTTGGAATATAGTTGCTTTCTAGGCTGTTACTTTTATCATAAACAAACGTGAGTACGCCTTCATGGTGGCGACCGCTATGCACCATATCTTTTCATCCCGTGTCCCCACTGACTCAAGTGACAGACGCCAACCTTTGACCGTCACTAATGTGGCATACGATATGATTATAAGTCGTTCTGAACCGGCTATTGTTTCGGAAGGTCTCAAGGCCTGCAGTCCATGGTATCGGGGGCACTCACATCATGGTATCACGAGTAGCTGTACAGACAGTCACTCATGCTCCGGCTCACACACGTACTAGAGGATCAACAACTGAAATCATGATGTCTTCTTCAAGGATACCCATACCACCAACCGGGGCTTCGTCAGGGCAAGGAAAACCCAAGCAGAGCACAATTCCCCGAGGTAGGCGGGACTCGTCTGCTTCGGAGTCGGAAGAGTATAGTAGGCTGAGGATGGTGAGGTCGAATTCCTCAAAGAAGTCGTCCAGGGAAGCCAATGCCTCTACTGGGACGCCGAAACAGCCATCATACTCCTTCATGCCAACATCTCGGTACTATGCTGCACCCCCAAGCAATGCGCCTTCACCGAATATGCCATCTGATACACAGCAACAAACAACATCATCTATGCCTTCCTGGAAATTTGGTCGACCTTCTTTACCCGAATCACGACCACGAAATGTTCTCCGAAGAAAGGCACCCTCAATAGAACAATATGCAGAGAAGAACAGGGCAAGATTACAAGCTCCGAAGTCTGAGAAAATAGACATAGAGATACCCCAAATTGAAGCTCCAGATAAGCTTGAGCCAGATCTTAAAGAATCGGTGCCCACAAGGCCAGCACCAGTCGACAATGTCCCTACTCGACCACAGTATTCTACTCCAACCCCATCCTCTCAGACACCCACAACTGAGGCCAGACCCTCAACATCAGGATCGCAGTCTCGCATTCCGAGGGAGTTCATTGGTCTGTCAACATCGATAAATACTTCCAACCTACCCCCCCCAACCCCTAACTTTACCGGGGGAAGCAGCCCTTCGACCAGATACACCGACTCCCCTGGTATGTGGAGTAGAGGATCAACCCCAACGTCACTTTCGTCCTACTCTCCTGGAATAGTACATCCGATCCATAGCTCTCGCCTAAAGCAGCCAAGCCCAACTATCTTCAGGAACCAAAGGTCTCGCCCAAACCTGGCAGTTTTATCGTCATTTGATGAAACCAAGAGAACGGGTGCTCCTACGACTCGGCTTCCTCGACGATCTCAAACTGAGCCTATCCCTCAACTGCCAGGTTCTAGTGCCGGGGTGAGAGAAACCGGACATCAAGCTCCTAGTCACGCTGAGTGGCAATCAACAAGTACCCTACCAAGCGACATAAAACCCACCTCGGAGAATAGAAAGGAAAGCGTGTGTACTCCAAAGCTCGAAGAACCGTCACTTACAGACTCGGGAGCAGTTACCCGGCTCTCTCCAAGTCGGCCTAGCCGCAAGGGAACAGAGCCGCTGAAACTGGAATCGTCGCCCGTTATCTGGAGTAACCTTACCTCTTCGAGACTTCCCACTCACAAACGGAGAGGTTCAGCAAGCTCCAATACTCGCTCTAAATCACCCGCTATCTCTTCATCGATTGTGAATGCATCCACAGACTCACTTCAGTCAAGGAGTTCAAATAAGATTACTGCATTGTCTCCACCAGTGGGCCAGATTGATTCCAGTGCCCGCCCGCAGCTAAGATCTATAACTCCCAAGGCAAATCTTTTCAGGAAAACATCGCTCTCAGGGAAAGAAACGAACGTGTCTAATGATACGAAGGAGCTCAAGGAGCCAAAGCAGCAGCAACCTACCACCAATGTTCCGAGAAGACTTGGCTTTTTCCCGAAAAAGTCAAAGACGGTTCCCGAAGTCACTCAATCCGGACTAAGTGAAGGTCGATCACGCAGATGTCCTCCCGCAGGAACCGGACACGAGGGTTATGGCAAATACGCTCAACGAGGAAGAAGAACCAGCATCGGAAGCACCACCTCCAGAGCAAGATCAACAAGCACCAGCAGGTCAATTGGGAACAATAGTGTCAGTAGCAGCCATATGGGACACGAAATTGATGACTTCCTTCTCGACCGTTTAGAGCCAGTTATCATCAACGGCGGCGGACTGGATGGCTCGACATTGACTCGTACACAAAGCGCACAGAGCGAGAGCTACCAGAGTGTAATTTCCACTACTGAATCTCAAGCTCTTCCGCCTACACTGGTTCATAGCCCGGAACCAATAACATCCTCTCCGCAATCTACCCTCCTGGATCCTGGGAAACATTTATCTCCAGAAGTGAAGCGTCGCCGTTCTTTCCGCAACTCGAAGCTATTTGGAGGCCAGAAATCGACCAGTAACTATCTGTCGGTATCTCAACTTCGACCATCGGCTTCCAGACGGCCATCTGATGCTAGCATCGATAGCCGTTCTGACATAACTTATCGTGGAACCCCTAGTTCATCCTCGCCGCCTGATTCTAAGCCAAATAACGAACCGAAGAAGAAGAAATCTGAAAAGTCAGGACGATGGAATTTCTTCCAGCGCAGCAATCCGAATCTTCGGGAGAAAAAGGCAAAGGATGATTCGGGGCCAACTCCAGAGATGCCCGCAGCTGTAACTCAGGTCTCAACTTCTAGAGCAGTTGCCCATTATGCTATTCTTGATAATGAACAGCTTGATTCCGATTCTTTGGAGGATATACTGGCGCGGGTGGAGGAGTCTCCGCCCACCGAGGAAGAAATCGAAACGACAACTGGACTCGGACTTAGAACCAAACACGGTCAGTCAATCTTGTTACCAGAGCCACCAGCAGGGTTGCTTAACAGTGCCTCTGAAAGACGCCCATCTTCACCCAAGGTGTTTTTCAACAAAGACGTGTTACCTACAGTTTCACCACCCAAGAATGACCGACCCAGCCGCTTGGCTTCCGTTGGTAGGATACCTCCTGTCATTCCAAGTTCTAGGAATCAACATAAACCATCTCTTCAGTCGTTTTCACGCCCATTTAGTATCGGAGAAGGGCCTTCCCTAACGGTAACGGCGGCAGCTGTGGCATCAAATCATCCACCTTTGGTTGAAGCCATACCCAATCGATTTGCTTTGTGTCCCCCGTCTCGAGAAGAATTTCTTTCGTTCAGTCCAAGGAAGGGCTCCGAGGTTTCCGTATCCTCTGGGAGTGTAGACGGCGGAAGTTTGGCAGCTTTCACTGCCGTTCTGCCGTCCCCGGGCTCAAAATTGACAGACGATGAAATATGGCAAGAATATGATGATTTTCTTGACAAAGTCACGTCGCCGCAAACTCCCGAGGAGGGCCTCTTGAATACACCCCGATCTTTCAATCTGGCTACTAGAGCCTCCAAGGCTTTACAGGAGGGTTTAAGTGGAACGAATGATACTTCTCCACCGGTTTCACCTCTGCAATGCCCAGATATTATCACACCTCAACTATCCGACCACAACTCCATTCATCTAAGCCGTTCTATGATTCTCTCCGCTCTACATTCATCCATCACACCCTCGGAGCCAATCTCGCTAGGGGATCTCATTTCAACTTATGCTGGAAGCAAAAATTCCTCTGCAGACTTCACTCATACCAACAACCCCTACGCTTCTCTAGGTGAGGAGCTACAGAATGACGCCCACGCAGCCAAACCTACTCCAAAAGAAAATAAGTCTTCTTCAACGGGAAAAGATCAGGCCCATATAGATCCTATGGCACAGGCAAATGTCCGTTCAGGCTCGTTAATGACCAGCAGGTGGCTTTCATTCGGTCGTGTTCTATTTAGCCCTGCCAAAAACCACATGCAACCTCAAGACCAAGCCCGCATCCTGGTTATTGACGGGCTAGGCAATGATGACTGGTCATTTTACTGTGCGTTGACTTATCCGTCTGCGGTGGTATACAATCTCACTTCAAACGTGCCTCCTCAGTCTACATCAAACAATCCAGCGGCATGGGATCCACCATCAAATCATCGTACCATCCATCGGTCTGGTATCAAAACTCCGTTCCCATTTCCTAAGGGCTTTTTCACTGTTGCCGTCATGCGCTTCCCGGCTGCTTGTTCCGAAGCTGCATATGACACTATAGTCTCTGAATGCTATCGTGTCTTACGCCCCGGAGGATATCTAGAGCTCAGTGTCATGGACTTAGACATGGTTAACATGGGAAGCCGCACTCGAAAGGCGGTTCGAATGTTGAAAGAACGAATATACACGACCGATCCTAATATTTGCCTAAAGCCAGCTAGCGACAACATCCAGAGGCTGCTTGGCAAGCGTGGGTTTGCGAATTTAAATCGATGCATGGTTGTTGTCCCTGTTGCCGGTACAATCGTGCAATCATCAGACACATCGAGCTCGAATCAATCGGTTGCAAACTTGCCCCAACAGCATAGCAGCTCTAATCTCCCGCAACGGTCAGATAGCTTATCCAATAGAAAGCACAAACATGCTCCTTCGGACGACGTGAATATGTCCCTCGGCGATCTCCTATCTGACCCTTCGCCCTCACCTTCAAACGATGAGTCGATTGCTAAGATGGTCGCAAAAGTCGCGCGATGGTGGCACACACGGTGCTACGAACTAGCTGTTTTCAGTGATCAGAATAAGGACATCTGGACCGATAGGATGCTTCTTCGAGAGTGTAGACGACGAGGCACTGGGTTCAGGCTCCTAATTGCCTATGCCCAGAAGCCCAGCGAAGTCACCAGGAGGACTGCGAGCGTCTAATCCCTTTATATATCCCTCATGCGCACATTTCTGTTTTATCTCATCAGCGATACCCGGGGACCTTCATGCTCTCCAACTCCCCAAGTCCATTTCTGAGTGATTTGTTTATTTCTCAACGAATCTAACGACATTTATGACCCATATACCATAGCGGTATTTATGCTTCACATTTTTTTAATCATTTTTTTTATATCATATACCTGCATATCTCATGAACACCAGTGCATAATGATAAACTTAACGGGCAACCGTCATATACCGTTTATTTTGTTCATTTAGCAGTCCCACGGCCTTTCTATGATATTTGTTTGCCATTTCATGTCCACGCGATATTAGCGCTTTATTTCTTTTTTCCTTTCCTTTTTTTATATACCTTGGGGTTTTGTGTCACATACATCTCCTATCCTTTGCAAGTTATTTGCGGCTGGCCGAAATTAGTATGTACTTAATAATACCGATGCCCTGCAAGAGGGACAACATCCATTTATTTCTATACGTATGTTAGCTTAGTGCATTTCAATAAACTTATCTATCATTAGCACATCAGTGGTCTTCCAAAGGCCTGGCTAGGAGATCATTTAGCTACGTAAAATTGGAAGTCATGTAAGATAAGGTGGATACTGTAGCTAGCCTGGATAGGGGATAATAAAGAACACCCCAAGCAGTGTAACAAAAATCAACAACTTAAACATTCTGTAATCAGCATGACCCTTAGCCGTATACCCAGTATTGTGCGGTGTAGCCAATCTGGAATTCAGAAGGCTGTCCTTGACAT